GGGGGGGGGGTGATCAACGATGCATGACTGGTTCCCTTTTAATTTTTGCCATTTTTATGCGATTCCATGAGCGATCGACGTTTTCCCCCTTTTCCTCGCTTGAATCTGGGCATGTTGCGTGCGAAAATAACAGGCATCGTCGCTATGGATGGCTGTGGCCAGGGTCTTAGACGGCGAGGATTCGACGAGGATGGTCAAGGTCATGGCGCTGTTCGCCATCGCCAAGAATACAATGCCGCCTGATCGTAAGCCGCATCATTTTGACGGCGGCCCTGGTGCATGTAGTACTTCATCGAGAGATGACCCTATATCTTCTGCCAAGACAAAGCTGGATGCTGATGTCGTGCGTAATTTAGGGGGAAATCTGCCTTCTCGCCTGGGGAGCGTGTAGAAAATCCACGACCCATGGTGTCCGTCCACCAAGCTGAGGTCGTAAGAACAGAAAACGTAGGGTTATAAAGTCACCACAGCTTGTCAGTGACGTGTGTTGCAGCGGCTCGCCGCATAAGTGCGTATTCCCTGTCCATATAGATGTCGGTTGTGAAGTTTGCTGCCCGCCCCAGCGCAAACTGTTTTGGGGACAGTATAGCTCGTGCTTCCGCCGCTATACAGCCTTCGCCTTGTGGTCAAGTCTTCACCCCTCGCGCGCTGTGATCGTGGCCGAAGACGCCGGTACTGCACTAGCAGCCCACTAAGATAATTTGAGCCTTCCCTCAAGCCTGTCTCCCGTCGCAACCAATGTTGTGCCTCCAAACACGCGGTTGTTATCGTGCCGCAAAAAAAAAAAAAAAGTGGTGGCGCCGAGCGTGGCGCAGCTGGCGCCCGCGGTGGCTCGAACGATGCGGATGGAGAGCACGGTCGCCCGGCAGCAGTCTGCCATGGCCATCCACAGCCTCCTCGGTTCCGTCCCGGGTGCCATGGCACGGTGTGACCCGGGTAGAGCAGACCGCCCAGAGGAGGTGCGTGCTTCCACTCCTCGGTAATAAAATCGATGGGCCTAAGCAGATACACAGAACGGATTTATCGCTAAATCTTGCTGACCATCCTTTCTAGCCCGATGACGACGTCGTTCGGGTGAGAGTGCTCTTGGCCATACATATTAACGACAAACCAGTACAGCGCCTTCGTCTTACCCACCCATCCCTTTCGCCGCCCAGATCAAACCAAACCATAAACGCTGACCCTCCTTTCTAACCCAACAACGTTCTCCGGGCGAGTCCTGTTGGCCGAACGCCCAACCCCTTCTGCCTACCCCCGCCTTCCCAAAACTAACTAACCTTTGGTGGCAACACAATCACCAGGAGGACAGCTTCTGGGTGCGCTGCCTGCTGCGGCTTTGCTTCGACGACGCTGTCAAAGTCCGGGCAGATGCCCTCAAGGCAGCGGAGAGGGCCGTGTCGCTGGGCGGACTGAGAGGGAACGCCGGGATCGCGGCGTGGGTGGTCGAGGCACTCAGGGATGGCAGGCTTTCCCAAGGCATGAACAGGTAGGCGGGTTGGGTTGGTTGTTGGTGTTGGGGATTTGTGGACATTGTCGTTGCTTTTTTTGTTGATCTTGTTTGAGAGAAGGTGGGTAAACCCTTCTGCCTATTTGTTGTGGGTAGTGTCTTTGACTTTTGCTGCATCTACAACGATAAACTGTGCCCTGTGTTTTTCAAAGCACATTGCTCGGCGTCGANCGAGTCGCATGAAGGGTGCGCTGCATCCTGCTAAGGGTGTTCGGCATCTTGTGCTTACTTCCTTGCGTACGGATGACAGCTGCGTATGACTTAATTTATTTTCTGGTGCTTTCATTTCCAGAGACAGTTGTAAGCACTGTGCAACTGCGTCGAGGGTGCTTGACCAATTTAACACAACGTGGTGC